TAAGACTTCGGGTGATAAAGTAAGGACACCTGTAGATGTCTCTCTGTCAAGAAGTTTTATAGCGGCTGATATCTTTCCTTGCATAACTAGATTGGCGAATACTTTGGATATATCTTCCATAGATCTTGCTTTCCTCGTCTTGCTAAACCTGCTCTGTATGAACCTTATTTCTTTCAACAGGAGAGATAGATAGTTTAGTTGTAATTATCGGAACTTAATATTGACAAAAGAAATAAGTTTAGAAAAATCTCCGGTATATTTTTCCAAAGTTTTCAAGTTTAAAAAACMAGAGAGACAAGAAATCAATTCGAACAAATATCTTTATTGTACAGAAACTACAACCTTTACAACCTTTAACCGGATTTTAGTAAAATTGACAAAAATTAGTTGCATGCATCCTAGATGCTGGAATATTGTTGTTCAAATGTAGTCTTTTCTTAGGATGATAATTCTCTTCGTATCCTTGAGATCTCTTTAGTGTTTGTTCAGGCACTTTGTTCTGGAGACTTGGAACGTGCGGTTCATCTTTGGGTTGTGACAGTGTAGTCACAGAACTGCTTTCTTGCATGACTTTGACTGTTTCACTGAGGTCGCCCAAGACTTTTCTCAATTCTTCAAACTCTTCGACTGAAAGAGCTACTCCATACTTTGTTGGTACCTTTCCCCTGTCAGCAACATCAGTGTACTTTCGAATATGGATTCGAATATGTCCTTGAAATTCATTGACGGTAGCATGATAGCCTCGAGATCCTAACTTGAATAAAGTAGCCATGTTGCTTGTTTGTTTACTTGCTTAACAAGTTGAATTTTGGAGTTAAAAATTCAAATTCCCCAAACAAAAGACTTGTTCAAACGGGTCTAACAATAGGCCTATGACGTCAATTGGTCGTCATGGTAACCATTTTATGCTAATGTTTTGATGAATAATTAATGTGCTCMACCTTGCTCACCCAAAAAATCCGGCCCGTGCGRTTCRGCCTATACTACTTGTAAGCGTAGCTTCAGCTACAGTGGCTCTATGTTATGGAATGGATTGTCAGTTGACTTGAGGAAGTCAAAGACTCAATCGCTTTAAAAAAGGACTTGACAAATTTTATTTGTTATCAGACTCCCAAACGGCAAACATGTAAACCAGTTTTAATTTTAACTGATGTTTTTACCGTGTATAAATAAAGTTTTCTGTCTGTCTGTCTGTCTCGGTTACTGTAATTTTACAATTACTGCAAACTTTGGGCCTATTGAGTTGTACTATGTTTTAGAGTGGGTAAAGGAGTTTAAAAATTTTGATGATAGCAATCGGGAATTGGCAGCTTCGTACTGCCTGTTTTTAAAATAAAATTCATTACAAAATTCATTTTAGCATGAAAGCGAGGCTCAAACATAATTTAAATAATAATCCAAACATTAACGCTATTTGAACAAACATTGAGTACCAAATATTACTTATTTGGATTTTTTAAAATATAAAACACGATTAATTAAAACTAATTTTAGCGAAAATAGTMGTTATCACTATATGCGATGCATTGTGGGTAATTAAAGATTGGGGATGATCATTCARGTAAGAGTTTTACATTGTTTGTCATGAATTTTGCCAGGAATTATGCCGTCTAATAAAAAAATGTACAGAATCAATTGGCACCTAAATATATGCAACCACTTAGGCTCATGAATTATTTTTTATGCAAAAACGTCATATCGAACACACTTCCTGTCTMGTCAGATGTGCCAATAGATCGTTTTCACGTGTCGTCATCAATTTCCGGTCGCCATATTGGTGTACCTCGATAGCGTGACTATGCAAAAACATGTGTGTAACAATCATGCCATGACTAGCGAAGTGCTCTGAATAATATGTAATATGTTGCCGGCGAAAAGAAAAAAAAAGAGTTTAGCGACAATTTATCTTCAATACCTCTATCTGAGTATGCCAAGAAGCTGGAAACTCGAGTGAAACGGCGTTATCTTGATAAAATTTCGTCGATTGGAATCGACCCCGTGTTAGTTGACAGCAACCTTTTTGAGCCGGACTGTTTACCTCCAGTAGAATCTACAGATCTGCTATTTTATCTCGTCCTAGAAACAAGTTTCTACACAAACCAACAGTTTAAAGMTTTTCGTAGTCTGGAAGCTTATAATCAGATGTTCTCCGGATTTATTGCAAGCGTAGAAGGCCACATCATTTCTGACAAGTTTGTTGTTGTCGCGAAGGTGAGACATTCTCAGCGAATGAACGATGCTCTGATCCCAGTATGGATAATCACAGAAAAACWGGGGAACATAATTTCTTGTCACTGTTTAGGTTGTAAAGCGGGTCTTGGTGAGTCGTGTTCTCACGTGGCTAGCGTACTATTTTACCTAGAAGCCTGGACGAAAATAAACGGCAAGTTATCCTGTACCCAAGTAAAGTGCACGTGGATTTTGCCAACCTACGTGAAACAAGTTGATTATGCTAGAGTACGAGATATCAATTTTACTTCTGCACGAAAAATGAAGACGGACTTGGAGAAAAAAATCGATTATCATAACGATATTCCCAGTCAAAGCAAGTCAACACAAGTTTTAGGAACATTAAAGTCTTCTTCAAAAGAATGCAAAGCTCCTACAGAACCGGAAATGGATGCTTTCTACGCTGAAATCAACAAGAGTCAAAACAAGGCCGTGGTTCTAAGCTTGATTTCTCCATACTCAAGTAGCTTTGTGCTGAAAAGCAGATCTGTTCCAACAGTAAATTATCTTTGTAAAAAGGAATACTTACATCTATCATATCCAGAGCTTATAAAGGTCTGCCAAGGCATAAAGATTGAAATTTCAAAAAATCACATAGRACAAATTGAGAGAGATACCTTAAAACAGTCAAAAGGACATAACBTTTTCAAACACAGAGCTGGAAGAATTGGAGCTTCTCAAAGTAAGGCTGCATGCCACTCAGATCCTGCTTTGCCCTCCCTGTCTCTAATAGAATCAATTTGTTACCCAGAGCTAGCCAAGTTTACCACTAAAGCCACTGTTCATGGTTGTAAACATGAGGAAGATGCTATCAAGGCCTATGAACAAATAATGAAAGGGAAGCACACCAATTTCAAGGTTCAGAAGTGTGGTCTGTTTATCAATGAAGCTTATCCATATATACATGCGACACCTGACTTCTTATGTTCTTGCGACTGTTGTGGAGAAGGATGTGGGGAGGTGAAATGCCCTTTTTGCATTGAGGACTGTGACTTTAATAGCTATCTATCAAAGTCATCATGTTGTCTACTAAAAGATAACAATGAAATGTTTACCCTTAAGCATGATCACCAGTATTACTATCAAGTTCAGCAGCAGCTGTTTACTTTACACAAAGATTACTGTGACTTTGTTGCATGTGCATTTGGAGATGATGGGAGTACGACACTTGTCCAGCCGAGAATATTCCCAGACAAAGAACACTGGGAAATTGCATTGCCAAACCTCACCACTTTTTGGAGAACCTGTGTCTTACCTGAAGTGCTTGGAAAATGGTCCACTAGAAGGCATACTTCAAAAAGAAGTGAGCCAACAGCAAGTGGGGCTATTTGCTTTTGTAGAACTGCCCAAGATAGATCATGTGTCTGTTGTGCCAACCCCATGTGCCCAATCAGTACATTTCATCTTTCATGCTTGGGACTGACAACCACACCCAAAACATGGTACTGCCCAAATTGCAGAATGTTACCTGAATTCTACATGTTTTAGCAAAAAAAGTCAAATACTTACAATCACTATTATCATGATATAAATATTATCAGTTCAAATCTGCTGAAATGAAAGTAACTTATCACGATAAATAATGCTAGAATATTCAAAATGTTGGTTTCAAAATACACCAACTTAGTTCGGTATAAAATACTTTAATGTCTAGGAAATTAGAAGAAGAGGCCATTTAATGATCATGAAAGAAAACAATCAGAAGAACCTGCAAGAAAGCGCTCCTGTCACATAGATAATGTCTGTATCATTTAACCTCATTAAAATAATTTCAATCGTGGAAAAAACTTTTGCAAGCTGCCAAAATCCGTAAATTCAATCCAATTTTGGACCTTGCAGAATCACTGAAGGGAGAAGAATTCCCAGCCATACTACATCATCGATCATACCGAAGTATTTCCACCATGAAGCGAGATCTTGACAAAATTCSTAAAGAACACGACAAAAATGCCGACACGTCCGTCATTAAAGAAAGGTCATCCATTCGACAAGTCTCAGCAAATAGCACAACTTATGACCGTGTTTGTACCTTTTGTAATAAAGTTAGAAAATATGCCAAGGAGAAAGATACCAGAGAAAAGTTGATTCCATGTTGTGATTTGAGTGCAGATGAAACGATTAGAAATGCAGCATTGGCCATGAAAGAATCCAAAATTCTTTCCAAAGTATCCAGAGAATTAGTAGCAGCCGAAGGCTGTTACCACAGGTTTTTTCACCGAGAATATACCCGTCCACTGTCAAGTGGTAGTACTGCCACTATAACTAATTCAAAACAGGAAGATCCGTTTGTCCAACTTGATACTACAGCATACGACAAGCTTTTGAAATACATTCGTTCAAGTGTCCTAAAACAGCCCAAGCTCGTAAGACTTAATAAACTCACACCAATGTTAGTAGAATCTATGGGAGAGCCGGGAGTACCTGAAATAAAAGAGTCAACAAAAATGCACATACGAAGAAAGCTTGCTGCAGAAATTGGAAGTCTACTTGACTTTGAAGATCTACTGGGTAACAAGGAAGTGTATGTAATTCCTCAGACTCGGACAATATTGCAATTAGCCAAAGAAGTCGCCTTTTTGTCACAGTSTTTCAGTGAAGTGAATGACATACAAGACATTAAACGTGTTGCCTTCAGCCTTCGAGACACTATACGAAATAACAAAAGTGAGTTTGAATGGCCTCCTCAGCCAYCACAGCTTACCGAAACTAACATCAATCTCCCTGAAAAAGTCAAAGTTTTCCTGTCTACGTTGTTAACAGGCAGTAGTAATGAGTCCCAAGAAGAGCCAAGTACCCTTAAAGTGCCTATGACCTTTATAGGATTATGATCAATTTTGATTTTCTGTGTGTTGGAGATGAATAAACAAAAAAAATTTTTTCGATTGACTAAATATTCTCGGAGATATAACGCCCTAAAGTACGCAGTTTTGCCACGCCCCATCGATTTGGACGGGATAAAGGGAAACTGGGACCTAGCAGAGTTTCACTGAGTGGTGACGTCACAAGAACGAATTTTTTGATAAGCAAAGATTCTTACTAGTTTCTTCTGTCAGAATATGAGAAAATGCCGACTAGATGTGTTGTTGCTGGGTGCTCAAACACCCCAGATTTTACGCAAGGTATATACCTGCATAAGATACCATTTTATAACGACAATCGCCCAGAAGCAAAGTCCAGGAGGAAGCAATGGATTGATTTCGTGAAGAGAAAGCAAGCTAATTTCAACCCCTCGGCTACCTCCGTCATATGTTCTTCACACTTTCTACCAGAGGATTACAATCAGAGATTCRATTTTGTCTCAAAAAATCGTCCTCAGTTAGCTAGGATGAGGTTGGGACTGTTGCCATCCCAAGGATTTATGTCGGCAACCATGAAGAGGAAACCAAACTGTCGGATCGTAATCGCCGAAAGGTAAGCGTCGCTGGTCAAATCTCCAGGAATGTTTAATACTTGTTTGATAGTACTAATCCTCTGATTTTGGTTTTCAAACTGTTTTTATTATCTATTTTCCAAAGGTTTTAAAAGATGCCATTGCCTCCGTGTCTTCACCGAAAGAAGTTGAGTTGCCGGTGCAAGAAGTAGTCAAACAACAACAAGGTTTCGAACAACAACAGGTGTGTGATCCGCCATCGGCTGACGAAGAGTCGAGTTCTTTTACGAATACAACGGACACCCAGCAACCTGAACACTCTGATCACACACATCTTGTAAGTATTCGTATGCAATTTGTATTCTCAGCGATAATTTTTACATTTTGCCTGAAAAATGCTCGATCACTGGAGTTGTGTATTTTTTATCGTCATGGCAACTGGACAGCTGATAGTGTACTCGTTTTACAGGAAAAGACGAAAGATAGCAGCAGTCAGACGAAAGCTTGCATTGGTTGTCTTCAATCAGGATGCTTTGCGGCCAACCCGATTATTGGAATCAGAAATCAGGAATTGTACAAGAGTTATTTGAGATTCCTGTTTCAGAAATCAGAAAACTGACTTTTCGGCACTGCCTAGGTGTATTGCATGGGCGAAAATACAAGTTTGAAGGAGAGAATGCAGGATTTTGGATTTCCGTTTCCCGAATCAGA